TTTTTTTATTTTTTTTGCAAGAGAGAGAATGAGAGAGAGCACGAGAGGGAGGAGGGTCAGAGGGAGAACCTGCAGCAATTTTAAATAAAATCTTATGTGTGCTCATAATGAGTTCATAAGAAAGTTGTTTCAGTATCTAAAAGACTCTGAGTTAAGCTAAAGCAGTGGTTTTCAAAGTGCGGTCTCTGGGCCAGCAGCACAGAGAACTCACTAAATGTGAGAACTCACTAAAATCTAAATTCTTCAACTACACCCAGGTCCTAATGAATCAGAGACACAGGGGGAGAAAGCTGACTTCTGGCTATGGTCAAGTGAAAAGGTCAGCAAATCCTCTTCCCAGAATGCAACTATAATATAAAGCTAGACAAAATTGACAAGAATGACCATTTCAGTGCTCTGGAAACCAACAAAAGGCAGATGACAATTTGAGAGGTGTTTATGCTTGAAAACTGCTGAACTGTGAGTAAGAATAGTAGATGTCTGAGGCATTCTGGCCTAGCACTGCTTCCATCTCCTCCAGCCCAGTGGGTGGAGGGGTTCTGCTAGGGCAGGACAGGTCATGAGGGCTGGCAGCTATGCCACTGTGGGCTCACAGGATTTGGTGTAGTAGGTGATGCCCATGGCCAATGGCACTGTCAGTGGAAGTAATGACAGCCTTGCTTTTCAGAAAATACTACAGGAAGTCCTTCAGACGGAAAGGAAGTGACATCAGATGGCAATTGGATGCACAAGGGAGAATGAAAAGCACTGGAAAAGGTAAATATGTGGGTTAATATAAAAGACTCTATAAATATATTTGCCTCATTTCTCCTCTTAATTTCTTTACAAGACATAAGATTGTGTACAGCAATACTCAAAACACTCTATTGTTGGGTTTACAGCATATATAAATGTAATATGTATAACAATAATAATACAAAGGAGAGGGGAGAAAATTGAGCTATATTGCAGTAAAGTTTCTATTATTTTACCAGAATTAAATTAGTTTTAGTCTCAACTAGATTTTGATAAGTTAAGATGCTGTACTCTAGGGAACAACCATTTAAGAAAATACATTTTAAGATAGTAAGAAAAGTTAACAGAGGAACTTAAATGATATACCAAAAAATACTTATTTAACACAAAAGAAAGCAATAAAAGAGGTACAGAGAAACAAAGAAGAGAGGAGACATATAGGAGACAAATAGCAAAATGGCAAATGTAAATCCATACATATTATGAATTACACTAAATGTGAATGGCCTAACTATCCCAATCAAAGAGTAGAGATATTCAGATCGGATACAAAAAGCAAGATCCAAATATATGCTATATGCAAGAGACACACTTAGATTCAGAGACACAAATAGGCTGAAAGTAAAAAGATGAAAAAAGATATACCATGAAAACAGCAACCATAAGAAAGGTGAAGTGGCTTATGTGGATATTAGCTAAAATAGATGTAAAGGTAAGAAATATTGGGGCACCTGGGTGGCTCAGTCGTTAAGCGTCTGCCTTCAGCTCAGGTCATGATCCCAGGGTCCTGGGATTGAGCCCCACATCGGGCTCCCTACTCTGCAGGAAGCCTGCTTCTCACTCTCCCACTTCCCCTGCTTGTGTTCCCTCTCTTGCTGTCTCTCTCTCTCTGTCAAATAAAATCTTTAAAAAAAAAAAAAAGATAAGAAATATTACTAGAGACAAAGACAGATGTTTCATAGTGATAAAAGAGTCAATAGATCAGGAATCTACAAAACCCAATTTCCAAAAAAGGTCACATGGGGTTAGACTTCAAGTAACGAATTTTGGAGGGGTCACAATTCAAACCACAACAAATCCAAATGTCCAGCAATTTGTGAGTGGAAAAACAATTTGTGGTATATCCATATAATAAAATACTATTTAGACATAAAAAGGAATGATCTACTGATGCATGCTACAACACAGATTAAGCTCTAAAACATACTAAATGAAAGAAGCCAGATGCAAAGACTACATATTTTATGGTTCCATTTATAAGAAACATACAGAAAAGGCAAATTTATAGAGAAAAATGCAGATCAGTGGTTGCCAAGGGCTTGGGATAGGAGAAGGGATTAAGCAAAAACCAGCAGGAGGAAACTTAATCGGGTTGATGGAAATGTTCTAAAACTGCATTTTGATAATGATGGCCAACTACGTAAATTTACTAAAAAAAAAAAAAATCACCAAAGTGTACACTTACAATGGGTGAATTTTTTATAGTATTTAATTATATATTAATAAAGCTATTTCTTTTTTAAAAGTTTCTGGGGGTGGGGACCAGCAATCTGGGTTTTAATAAGCCTTCCAGCTAATTCTTATACTAAGGTATGCAAATCACTGCTCTAAAGAGACTGTTTAAACCAAATGAACTTGACATAACATCATTGGCCCATCCAAGTCTTACCTGATTCTTACCCATCCAAAGTGGCAGAGGTTCATGAAGACAATTACATCCCCTAGAGGGAATAAATAACTACATTTTCCTTACAAATCTGAATAGCATGTGTGTTAAATTTGACATAGAGTCCAGACTTAGAAGTGACCCTGAGATTCAGACTCATATCCAAGTTGACAGTTTAAGCTTGGCACTTCTAGGTCCCTCAGGCACCCCAGATGCACCCTTTCCTGAATGAGGCTCTTTATCCCTCTACTTGCTTTCCTTGGTAAATGGCACCACCATCCACCCGGTGGCCCAAGCCTGAAACAGGTGAACTACATTTGCCTTCCCCCTCCCTCATCCTGCACTTTAGATAGTCACTGAGGCTTGCATTCCATTTCCATTGGAATCTCTCCCCCTTTCTTCCCAGTAATGGCCTTATGCCAGGACCTTATCATGACTCCCAAATGGACTCACTGCCTTCAGTCTCACCCCATCCCCTGTCAGTCCACACTCAAGATATTCTAGGGATCATTTTTTTTTAAGATTTTATTTATTTATTTATTTATTTTAGAGAGAGAGAAAGGGCATGCTAGCTGGGGGGGGCGGAGCAGTGGGAGAGGGATAAGCAGACTCTGTGCAGAACCCACACAGTGCTTGATCCCACAGTCCTGAGATCATGACCTGAGCCGAAATCAAGAGTCCAACACTCAACCGACTGAGTCGCCCAGGCAGCTGCCCCCCCCCCTCCCCCCCACCGCCCAGGGATCATTCTTACACATGGACATACTGATACTGCTTCCTGCTAAAACTTCTTTGGTGGCTTCTCATCTTTATCAGTTAGAAACTGCTTTTGACTACATGTAACAGAAACCTGGTTATGCTTGTTTAACCAAATAAATGTGCATTTTTCTCACGTGAAGTGCCAAGGTAAGTGGCATATTCCCAATGCAAACCATTGTTAGTTTCTTCTTCTTTTTTTTTTTTAAGATTATTTATTTATTTATTTGTGAGAGAGTGCACATGCACGAGCGGAGGGGGTGGGGCAGAGGGAGAAGCAGACTCTCTGCTGAGCAGGGAGCCCGACTTGAAGGCAGTCAGGTAACTGAGCCACCCAGGCACCCCAAATCATTGTTAGTTTCTTATGTCTTACAGGAACATAATGTGCATTTATAGCTTATATATATATATATACAATTTGAAGATTTGAATGTAATCGGGCCCAAGCCCAGTGTTTTCAAAAAAGCTCCTAGGTAGTTCTAATGTGCAGCCCAGGTACCTGTGATTTACAGCTGAAGTCTAGAGAGGATTATCCAGGAAGATACAGTGGGCCAGACTGAGCCAGAGCCCAGGCTGGAACTGCTAAAAATATAGCCTATGACATAGGTTATCGACAAGATTATTAAATATACAGCTAACTCGCAATTACAGTTTGCAAACTTCTAATCGCAGACTGTTCACTCCTGCTTACTAGCGATCTACATTAATTTTTACACTTTTCACTTTCCAACTTTTGAGAATGCCTCAGATACTTCATGATTCTGTGATATAATCTTCCTACAGGGTTTATTGGTAATAGGTTTCAGTTTTGGGGATTAGTGACATCTGCATTTTAGTAGCTGCAGGCAGAACTAGCTAATGCCACTTCTTGTTTCTCCTTTGCTTCCTAATTGTTAGTGCATTTGTTTCTTAGCGTTTAAAAACCTCTCTTTGTACTTTCTTTTGAATTTTCCCTAACTCTGGCATTTTCCTACAAGTCACATAAAAATATGTCTTTTGGGGGGCGCTAGGTGGCTCAGTCAGTTGAGCACCTAACTCTTGATTTCTGCTCAGGTCATGATCTCAGGATCCTGAGATTGAGCCGCACGTCGGCTCCATGCTCAGCGGGGAGTCTGCTTGAGATGCTCTCTCTCCCTCTCCCTCTCCCCCTCCCTCCCTTTCTTTCTCTAAAATAAATAAATAAATCTTAAAAAAATATGTCTTTCATAAGCAAAGGCCGTGGTAATAATCCCTTTGTGATGTGTGATGTGAAGGAGATTAATAGAAAACTACACATTTACTGAGAATGATGAAGGTATAAAGGGAAAATTGCCTTGAGTCACAGAAATAAAAATGATTTAGGGAAAGAGAAAGAAGAGATAAAGGAGAAAAACAGAAAAATGAACCCTAGGAAAAGAAGAGGAGAAAGGGGAAAAGAAAAGAAATGTAAGACTGAACTTCTGGTCTACATCCTTCTCACTCACATCCTAACTACAGAGGTCCCCAAACATTGACTTTATATTCTCAGGAATGCCAGAAAGACACGCCGTAAGCTGCTCAGTCATCCACTCAGGCTGCAGTGATATCTGAGACATCTATCCCTCCTCATCATTCCCTATAAAATCAAAGTCTCTCTGGATTACTCGTGCCCCATTCTGACTGTCAGATTCTGGCCACATTCTGGGCCTCAAGACAACCCAACCGACTTTTGGGTTTTTTTGACTTCTTGGAGATAATGACTCTCAATAGGATTGGCCTGGTACAAAAGTGAACTTTTCAAAATTACCTGAGTACTCTGGTCACACTGCAGTTTGAAACACATGAACTCTGGGGCACAAAATTTTGGGGCAGGAGCACTCCAAAGCCACCACGGAATCTCAAGGTCAAAATGAATAGGCCTGCCCTAATATTCACTAGACTGGAGCAAGAGCAAAAATGGAGGCCCTCACACCATACACTAGATATTTAAATGATATAAATCAAGATAACAGCCAGATAAAATATATCCTATAATCTGGTTTAGCAAATATATCTTAATAAAGACCTGGAAGGCAGGTTCAAATATGGCATTCTTGGACTTCTTGAGTTCTATGGAGGAAGGTGGCGATAGAATGAGAGCCAGCCCCCTGTCCCCGGTCTTTCCTTCTTTCCCCACTGCAGGCTCCACGTTGCACCAAGGGGGCCTATGGTCAAACTTAGGTGTATACCCATGGTGGCACAGTCCATCTTTAGCCTGTGTAGGCCCTGGAAACAGACCGAGGATGCCAAGAAATTCCAATGTCTTAAGTATTCAGTGAATGTTCTAGAACAGCAGTTCTCAACTGGGGGCAATTTTGCCCCTCAGGGAACATTTGGCAATTTCTGGAGACATTTTGTTTGTCACAGCTTGAGGATGGGGGTGTTAGGAGCATCTAGTGGATAGAGGCCAGGGATGCTACTAAAGATCCTACAAGGTACAGGATGGCCACCACAAGTAGTTATCTGACCCAAAATGTTAACAGTGCCAAGACTGATATATCCTGCTGTAGGTTGGACACAAATACCGTTCAAGATCACAAGATACCTTGGACATATTGTGGGTTTGGTTCCAGACCACCACAATAAAGTAAATATTGCAATAAAGTAAGTTGGATGAAATTTTTGGTTTCCCAGTGCATGTAAAAGTTATGTTTACACACACAATAGTAAATGTGCAATAGCATTATGTCTAAAAAAATGTATATACCTTAATTTAAAAATATCTTATTGCTAAAAAATGCTAACCATCACCTGAGCTTTCAGCCAGTTTATAATCACTGATCACAGATCATCATAACAAATATAATGGATAATAAAAAAGTTTGAAATATTGCGAGAATTACCAAAAACGTGACACAGAGACATGAAGTGAGCAAAGGCTGCTGGAAAAATGGTGCCAGTGGGTGCCTGGCTGGCTCAGTCAGTGGAGTGTGTGACTCTTGATATCAGGGTTGTGAGTTTGAGCCCCACATTGAGTATACAGATGATTTAAAAATGAAATCTTTGGGGAAAAAAAAGAAAGAAAAGAAAAATGGTGCCCACAGACTTGCTCAATCAGGGTTGCCACAAACCTTCAGTTCATAAAAAATACATCTGCAAAGTGCAATAAAGTGAAGCACAATAAAATGGGGTATGCCTGTATTTAAATTCCATAATCCTGTTCTAGAAGGAGGGGTAAGATTCTAGGTGGGAATACCCTCTTGGCTCCACAGACTCTCCCTCACAGGATATCTGGCTTGGGGAGGGACAGAACAGAGCCTTCTAAAGTACAGGCCCAGGGCCAGGGACTCCATTGTGCAGGTGGGAGGGCAGTACTGGGAATGAATTTAGAGTACCCTCTGGGGTCCTCTAAACCTGTAGGAGACAAAGCCCTTCCACTGACCAAAACAGGGGGCTGTCCAGGCTTCATCTGAATATCTCAAAAGAGGACCAACTCCCTGTCCCAGGGCTTTGCATCCAGGGGTTGGTCCCTGGGCTGGTCCCCTGGCAAGCTCATATAATGAACTGACACCTGACTCTCTAACTTCCTGGAACCCAAAGAAAATTAGACCTTGGGCAAAGGCCCTCTGGCTAGCATTTGCACATTTATGCAACTTACTAGCATACACCAATTATCTGGCGAATACTAGTAAGTACAAGCAGGAAAATTACAAATATGTGCACTTTCTAGAGGCTGATAAAAAATGTGGATTGTGTATGTTTGATAGAGGACGCCTTAGAATCCAAGGGTCTAAATAAGTAAATAGGATAAAGTGTAGCCCACATGCGGCTGAAGCAGCCCCTGTCCTTGTTTCACTCTGGTGTTGAATTAGGCCTCAGTATTTTGTCATCCTTACAACTGAATCCTCCTGAATGAGCATTAGAAGGAAATACAGATTGTGGTGAAGAGTTCTCAGGAAATAGGGAGGATTTAAAAATCCCACAAAGCAAACAGAACAGAAATCCCCAGCAGGCAGAGCTGTTCTCCTTTAGGTCTGTCCCTTCTTGGTCCCTGTCCTGGTCTCTTTGTTTCCACTTTTCTTTTCAGGACACTTTCCCCATCTCTTCTTTGGAGTCGAGTAGGTCCAGCTCTTGGCCCCAACTTGCCTGCTTCACTGGGCAAGAAAAACACCTGCAAGTCAGGTTCTCAAAGTGAGGTCGCAGGCCAGCAGCACCAGTGCTACCCGGGAACAAGTTAGGAATGCAAGTTCTGGGTTCCCATCCCAGACCCACCGAGTCAAACACAGCAACCTGCAGTTTAACGAGCCCTTTGGGTGAGTTTAATGCACACTTCCATGTGAAGGTAAACTCACCCCTTCCTCCAAAAACAGTTCAGCCACCTTTGTTGGCATTCCATCAGGCATGCCCTGTGGGGATGGAAGATGAAGACTCTACTCCCCTCCATCCCCCAGCCCCCATGGCTTATCAAATTATTCTCCCAACAGAAGTGTGTGTGGAGGGGGTGGAGGGCGGGTACGAGTCTCAAAGCCCTATCTGTGCAAACAAATTCATGGCCCTTGTGAAAAAAATTCTAAGAGAACTTAATAAAAGGTGCTACAGTCTCCTGTACATCTTTGTAGACATTTCAGAGCACACAGTGAATATGTTTATCCTTAAAATACACAAAAATAGTTTGTACTGTTTGCTCATTTCATGTTTTTGAAATATCTCCCTTGGGGGAGCCTGGGTGGCTCAGATGGTTAAGCGTCCGCCTTCAGCTCAGGTCCTGGCTCCCAGCTCAGCAGGGAGCCAGCTTCTCCCTCTGCCTCTGCCTCTCTCCCCTGCTCACGCTCTCTCTCTGTCTCTCTCTCTAAAGTGAATAAATAAAATCTTTAAAAAGAAAAGAAAAGAAATAGCTCCCTAGAAGGCTAAGTAAGATTCCGCGTCTGGGGTATAACTTGTGTACCCACTCTGCCCTTCTCCCTGACTGTTGAGGCAGGAGAGCCCGACAACACCCGAGAGAGGTGCAGAAGTCAGTGTGCTGACGATTTGGTATTTTTACGGTTGTGGGCCTTGTCAAACAGGGAAAAGGTGACAAGAACACAGAATTCCGCGAACCAAATTGGTAACGCTGTGTGCCAAGGACTAAAAAAAAAAAAACTGCAGGGAAGAAAAGGCGAGGGCAGGGATTGAGATGCGCCGACTCAACACACCCTCGGAAACCCAAAACACAAGAAATGAAACGACAAAAAGCACCCAGCTCGACGCGTCCCAATTTAACAGATGAGCCAATTTCTAAGAAACAGATGAGACAATGTTCTTATAACCAAGGATATATCCACACAAAGTGTCTTAATAAAGGCGTGCCACGTATACCTCATTTTCCCAATTTCGCGTACTGTCATCTACGGATTGGAAGGGAAAGGCCGGATTTTTCCACAATTCCATGTTTCTGGGAGTTTGAGAGCCGCGGGGCGGAGGGAGCCGGCGGCGTGGGACGCAAGGATCCCCACGCGGCCCCTTGGTCCCGCCCCCGGTCGGTCACTCCGGGCCACTCGCGTGCCGACGCCTCGTGGGGAGCGGGCTGAGCGCGCGGGCGGCGATTGGTTCCGGGCCAGGGTGGGCGGGGCGCGGAGCTCCGGCCTATAAGGGCGCGCGGCGCGACCACCTCGGTTTGCGTCGGCGTCTTCTGCTGCGTCCTCCGCTGTCTTCGGAGTCCTCACAGCCTTCGGAGTCCTCACAGCCTTCGGAAGCCGGACCGGAGCGCGGCCTCGCGAGTCATGGAGATGAAGGCCGTGTGCGTGCTGAAGGGCCAGGGCCCGGTGGAGGGCACCATCCACTTCGTGCAGAAGGCAAGGGCTGGGGCGGCGGCTGGGTGGGTTGCTGCCTGCCGTCTCTGTCCTCGGGGCCCCCCGGGCCTGGCCCTGGGCCCCCCAGCCCTGGCATTCCGCCCGGCCTAACAAAGGGGCCATGCGGTGGAAAGGGGCCTTTCATTCCATGAGGTGGAGGCATTCCAAAGCCCCCCGGTCCTGGAGGGGGGCCTCTGTGCATCATATGCGGCGGCATGGGGCGAGGTGGCATCAGAGGAAACCGCTGTAAGTGAGGTGGAGGCATTCCTGGAGGGCGCTGAAGTGGGATCAGGCCAGGGCGGGCACCAAGAAGACCAGTGGATGGTGCCTGGAGCCCAATGACAGGACCAGGTGCAACTCCTTGGGTACCTAAGAGAAAGTAAAAAAGAAAAAAGGATGTAAAGGAACAGAGAAGATGGCATTCTGTTTTCACCTGTTTCCTGTGGAGCCTGAATCAAAATGAAGTTCAATCCAGAATCTTCCAATTTTGTGTTGTTTGCCAGTCTACCTGTGAGAGACTCAATGTGATGGCCCAGTAACAACCATGGCACAGTCTTACAGATACATACTATATATTCTATGAAGATATAGGTCTATAGAATTAGTGTACGGATAATTCGTATCTAACGTTGGTGGAGGTCAAAATGAGCTGGAAAAGGAAATTACAACATAACCAATTTTGGAAAGTCTCCTATAGCCTTCACCAGCAACTCTTTGGTAAAATACTTAAAGCATTTGAGAAAAGGCTGAACTATCTGAGCCAATTCTGAAAGCCAGCTCAGGTGTACTCTTAGGAAATTTTACACTTTAAAGTCTTAATACGAGAAACAAATGGGGTCACTGACCCAGAAAATCCACTGAAGAGGGAGGTCTCTTTGATTCCATGTCGTTCAGATGCCTTACTATACAGTAAGCATCACTTGAACAGTAATGCTTATAAAATAAAGATTGATACACCAGTGGAGAGTTTATTTTTACAGGTTCTTTTTCAAAGCACAGCATAAGGTGTAACTTGCTAGGCCACAATGACGGAAGTATGTTCAAAGTTCAGCCATTCATCTTCTATTCATTCTTCCTGAGGCCACAAGACGAAGTTGGTGCTGTTGACAGCAACAAGGACATACTGGTTTCATTTCCCATTTACATGAGAGTTTGCTCACACTTTGGTTTAAGTCATGCAAATTCAATAATCCAGCATTTAAAATGATATGGCAAACTATGGATTTCTGTTTCAGCTCACCACTGAAGTAACAGAAAGGCATCATCTCTCTCTTTGCAAATATCAGCATCACAAGCCAAATACAATGACCAACAGGAGTAACTCATTACTGTAACATTGTAACTGTTAACACTGGAAAATATTCCAGATGTTGGAATATGTACTATTTACCCATGTACTGCAGAAAGGCCTCTGAGCAAGTTATGGGTTATGATTCTTGACCAAAAATGGTAAGAGAAATGCTTGGGTGACACTGATAAAAAAACAACCCAAGAGCAAACCCAATACTTTAATACTAAGTACTTCCCCCCACCCTAACATCAGCTTGAACCACTTCCTCCCACGTGCTTCAGCAAACATTGAACAAGTCCTGCTCGCTCCTAAATTTTTTGTGTAAGAAATACGAAACAAAAGTCTAACTTCAGTTTCTGCTCCTCACAACGTGTGGTCCAATACTGTTCTGTCAGACTTAAGGACTAAATAGAGTGGACCTGAAAATATAGGTACAGCAGTTTGTAACTTTTAACATGAAGACTCAACAGCCTTGGTATTTACTTACACACAAGACCTTCCTTCAAATGCTTAAAAAGAAGTATGGTGAAATATAATCTCACTTAGGAATGACCTTGGACATGTGCCTCAGAAATGAGAATAACACCTGCCTCTTGTTGAGATTAAATGGGATAAAATAAGAGTGAGCTCTGAGCCTTGTCTACAGTTAAATGCTGAAATAACATCTATTCGACAGGTGATAAATATCCTAACATTAAATATCTGACTCCACTAAAATGAATGCATTTTCCATTTCCAATTTGGATCTTATGAACCACTTGTGGCCCCCCCAACATCCACCACAATTTAAAGTCAAGCACTTTGGTAGTTGGGAAAAATGTGAACGCACTGAGCCTTCCACCTGTCAGGTCTAAAGGTAAAATATGCTAAATACCACAGGAAAAAGCTAGAAATTATGAAATGGACAAATGAAGCACAGACCTTGTCTCTTCACACACTCTTCAGACTCTCCTTGAAAATCCCAATGAACATATACAGAACCTACCCGTATTTCAGATCGAAATGAATTCACAATGGCAAACGCTGTTCCTATCACTTAGTAAACCCTCAGTGTATACCACACAGCAGGGCAACAAAAGAACCTAAGATACCTTTCTCTCACTTTTAAAAGAAATTAGTCCCAACATTTGTGGACTGTAACTCAAACAACATAAAATGTATGTACCCAAGTTACTGCCCTTTCAATGGAGATAACACACAAACTGAGCTTTACTTTTCCCACCAGCCTTTAAAATGACCACTGTTTACTCTGTTCTGGAGTTCAAACTGTGTGGCACATTCGAGTACTTTACAGGCTCAAGAGGCCAAGGCCAAATTTTTAAATAACAATAGAAAAATGGGAAAGAGGTTCAAAGCATCTTATAATAACAAAAGAATTAGGTTCAGATGAATCTTTAAAAGGAAACAGTGACTCTTCCAGGATAATGGAAAGGTCCCATTTCCTGATTTACCCAACACTGGCTTCCTCAACTACCAATCTGACAGTGGCCAAAGGATGCAAGGCCACCTCACCCTTGCACACAACAGATAAATTGGCAATGATACTCTTTAAAATACAAACCTGTCTCTAGGAAGACATCTCTTAAGTCCTTTATAACATGCATATGAGAGTACAGAGATTGCTTTAATAGGGTTAACATTTACAGTAATCATATATTTAAACTACCTACAAAGCATAATATTTTTATAAAGCAAAAATGTTGCCTTATTCATTGATTCTGTATGTGTGGATATTTGTATTTGCCTATTATACTACATGCTCAAATCCCTTCTCTCATTTGTAAATAAGCAGATTTCCATTTAATCCTTCATGGACCAACATTTAGATTCCCCTGACAGACTATTCCCATAGTCCTAAATGTTGACCTTCAGGCCACAGAAGTGATAAAATTGTGGATTATTATTTGTTTTGTTTTTTGGCAGTCAACATGTGTTGTTTTTATAATGAAAGCTATATTTAACTAAAAATACACCAGGTGGCATAAGCCCTCGATAGGCATGCTAGCTGAATTTCATTTTTAATTAGGAAAGTTCACATTATACATACATCAATGGACTGTATCATGAGTTACTCTGGTCTAAAGGGCATTCAAAGCAATTATTCATCTGATCTGGAAGTATGACATGCAATGCCACTGACAAGTCTTCTAGAGTTACAGATTAAGAAAAAATTAACTCACATACTGAACGCCTGAACTTTACATTATTAATTCATTTCATGTGCTACAGATACAAAGATAAATAAAACCTAGTCCCTTCCTTCGAACAGGATACAGCCTAAGTAGAAAGGAACATGCCAACCGCTGGAAGAGATGGCACAAGCTAGTATGGTGGCAAAGGTGGAGCTGAGGAAGCTGGTGTGCATGAATCTGAGTGCGGGGCTTAGGGTGTCTGAATGGGGTCTCGAAAGGAAGGAAGGAAGGAAGGACAGCACCAGTCAAGAGAACTGCAACAGAATGTCTTCTGACAAGAGAGAGAAAACAAATACACAAGATGAGGTTTATTACTGAAGCAGCGAGAAGGAATTTGTGCGAATACAAACTTACTGTCAGCTAAACTGGCAGACGGGCTAGGGCAATTCAGAGGTGTGTTATGCCGCAAGAGGAAAGCTGGACTCTGACTCAAAAGTGATGGGGCGAGGACCAAGGCATTATTTGCAGGGATGATCCTGTGTCCATTTTTGAAAGAGCTTCCTAGCCAGCAGAGTACAGGAGAGCCAGGAAGGGAAAGACAGCGGAGAGCAGGGGGGACTCTTACCCCCAGAATCCAGGGGACAGAAACGAGAGACTGGACCGAGACAGAAGGGACAGAGATGAGGAGCACAGCTTTCTGCTCTGAATGAGTAGACGGAAGCATCAACACAGTGCAGGAATTTAGGAAGAAAAGCTATTTTTGGGGAGGCAGAGGACAAATTTCTACTGAGAGCTAGAGGAGACTGAGTTAGATCTGGTGGAAATGTACAGAAGAAACTGGTATGTATAGCTAGAGCTCGCAAGAGAAGTCCCAGTGTTACCCACAGTTCAGGTGAGAAACGCGAAGAGTTCACACCTGAGGAAACACTACCTTAAAGTCTCCGAAATTTTAATACAGCAGATTTTAATGCAGGAAAAGGACAGCCCCAAACGTCTGTATTCAAATTTGGTAAGTATAAGAAATACGTTGGAGTTTAACTCAAAATAACCAAGACCTAACTGTGAATATTCCTATGAGTAAAAAACCAGACACTTCACAATTAAAAAATAAGTCAAGTTTAAAGGGGAGATGCCATTGCTACATAGCGCAAAGCTGTCCAAAATTACGTGACATAAAGAACAGGTATGTTAAAGGCTAAAGGGGCAGCGAGGAAGGGGAAGTTGGTATCACGGCTGGAGTCCAATGTGGACCTTCAAATCTCAGAACATAAATAAGGGACACAAACAGTCTTTCTAACAAGTAGCTTTCTGCTAAGGACTGGTGGGGGGGGGGAGGGAGGACAGGGAGACACATAAAAAGTTACTAAAGGTTTGAATTAAATACTGCGGGCGTGACCCAAATGCATCAGTTAGCTGGATGCCTTTAAAGAGGATGTAAATTTAAGGGGGATCCTTTAAGGAAAGCAAGGACTTGCTAGGTGAAAAGGGGAGGGAGGAAAAGTATGAGAAGGAAACATCTAAAAAGCAAGGCAGTTCTACCTCTACACCAACGATCTTGTCCTCCATCCTACCAAAACCACTGCTTCTTTCAAGTCCTGGACCTTTCATTACAAATACCTGTATTACTTCCAATTTCTCATCTGCAAGCATCCCACTCTCTGACCCCCTTCTCAGAATAATTTTTTATCTCATGAAGGTCAGGCCCCCACAATGCCCTTCATTGTCTTTATCTTCCCCTCCTTACCTGCCTTGGAGTCCATGGTCCCCCCTCACAATTGCCTGGAAAAACCTCGATGGTTCTGAATGCAGCTCTTCTACCTAATCTGTACACAGACAGGGCTGGGGGGTCACCCCACCCCCAACATGCCCACTGGTCTCATTTTAAGTTTACAACTGCAACCACAAGTGCTTCCTTAATTCTGGTTAGTGATCCTAATTCTCCTGGT